TTACCATGAAGGAAAGTGTTATGGCTCAAAGGACCTTACCAAAATTAGGAATACAACTAACATCACTCACAGCTGGTCACCTCAACTCACAGACTACTCACCTGCTGGTTTCAAACAGGGTGAAAGCAAGGAAGACGACATCAGGTGACAGACCACCTGGAACTCTACCTAACAGGGATAAAGATGATGTATGTGCAATTGGGTGGCATTCCTTGGAAAGATTAGTAACACAAGTTTCGCACAGACTGAATTTGACAGTGTGTGGGGGAGGTGTAACTAGAGGAACCTCAGCCAAACACCTTCTGTTAGTTTTGTTCAGATCTGTTTAGTCAGTTGATTGCATGACCATGCACACACATGTGCTTTCCTCTCCTTCTGTCATGAATTAAATAGGATTATGGAGAAAAATATAACTAAGCACACTGAACTGTATCAAGTAATTTTCAAAAAGGAGGAAATTTGGGTGGTTTTTAGATGTGACTTTTCCAAGAGGGAGAAAATAGCTGTGGAACCCTTGCTGTGATAAAACTGCACTATTAGAAATCTGTAGCCTCAACCATTTAAGCTATTTATTGCAGCTTTCCACAAACTGATTAAATTAAATGCTCTGAGGATTGGAAGAGAAAGGAGAAAAAAATTAAGCATAAAACATTTGCCTCTCTTCACTCGAAGTCTACACTCTAATATTTAGTTTATGAAGGATCATGGTGGTCTCTCTCACACCCAGATGTGCAGATGCCCAAGTCACACACAGGAAAGTATGCTGCATGATATACTCATTTGTCATACCACAAGTGGTACAAGTGAATGGTAACAGGATTAAAATAAGAGGTTGAGCTTGCACTCCTAAACAATCCATATGGGAACCATGGAACCTCACTTTCCAACTTTGTAGATCTCTTCTTCTTATGCACACAAAGGAAAAAACAGGGTCCTCCTCTCCCTCCTCCCCTTCAACTCCACCCCAGTTCTTAGAAGAATTTCAACTCACTATTTTAACAAAATAGTCTAAGACTACATCCATCTCAACCACGTTCATTCAAAGAGATTGCCTTGAAACCCTCCTCCTTCCATCCACCCATAATGCAAAATATTCGGAAGCTCAAGGAAGTGCTGTGCATTGACAGACGAGTTCAAATCAGAGGAATAAGACAATTAACTTGTGTGACAACAATATTAAGATTTATCTGCAACCTGCTTAATATCACATTACATTATTTATACTCCGTACTTAATATCAGGATTCTCAAACTTCATTGTGTCATGACCCTCTTCTGACAACAAAAATTACTATGTGACCGTAAGAGGTGGGACTGAGCTATCCTGAGTCCTATCACTCCCCTCCCTTCCCCAATCCAGGAGTGAAGATCCTGAGCTTTGGCCCCAGCCCCACAGTGAGGCCTGGGATTTAGATTTGGCCTCAGGTGATGGTGCTGAGGCTTCAGCCCCCCAGAAATTTTAATGCCAACCCCATTTTGGGTTCCCAACTCATATTTTAAGATCCGCTGCCCTAGATCAAAAATAAAAGTTAGTGAAAATGCACTTGATGTGTGAACTTCATGAAAACTAATGAAAGCCTGCTTGGATTGTTGCAACTGAATGCATTGTGTAGACTTCTGTATTTGGTTTGCTCGTCAAGTATTTGGATCCTTGGAACTGTAAATGAAAAAGCAGGCTAACTTCAAAGCATGGGTCACTTGTTCAGCAATGGAAAACCCACAGACTGAATACCGTTTAGGCAACAGACAAAAAGCCCAGCTGCATCAGAAACACTTGCCAGATTGCTACAAGAATGGATCCAAGCAGCTACCACGTGTATCTGACCCGTCTGGAGACTTCTGAGGAGTATTCCAGATACACAACAGAGATCTCCAAAGCTCTCTCTCCCCTATCCCTTGAGACTTACACATTTGGAGTCGCTTAAGTTAAATACATTCTCAATAACTCATTTTTCTCTTAGTTAATACGTCTTCAGTTAATTTAAAAAAATTGGCTGCCAGCATTTTTTTGGGGGGGGGAGGGGGAAGAGGAGGCATATGGCATCTAGTGTATCCTTGGGATTGGGACTAGCCTCATGTGCCATGACATTTGACTTTAATAACCTTCTATCACAAATCTAGTTTGTCTGGATAGCAAGACGTGCTAGGGAGCCTAAGAGAACAGTTTGTGGTCCCAGGTGTGTACATGACTCGGTAAAATCCATTTCTAGAATATACCACCAGGTTGGAGTGTCTGCCCTGTTTTCTGATGGTCTACCATGAGCCAGGCACATTGTTGTGAGCTCTGCTACACAAGTATAATCAACTGACCCAATTCTTTCTGTTTTAAGTATCTGTGTTTCAAATAGGGGAGGAAAGGGGAGAGAGAAAATGTTCAACCACTGAAGTTGATTGCAAAGCCACATTCTGTACAGCATAATGGGATAGCATCAGATACAGGAGCTCTACATTTGATCATCCACATACCAAAGTGATATTACATTAACACCCACAGACCACATTCTGTTTCACAGTCCTATTGTGCTAGATACTGGATGAAAAGCCAACGAATGTAAGATGACATGCCCCTAGCTCCATCCAGCTTACAAAGTGGAGATCCAAGAAGAGATAATACTCCTACTCTCCAAGGAGGAGGCTACAAGTCCATTTTGACTTGCAGATTGCACAATAGCCACTCAGGAACAGGGAAGTCAGTCAGTCTGAAGAGAAAGCTCACCTATAGACACAACTGCAACCCACAAGGGACATGATCACGGCTGCTGGAAGAAGGGAACAGACATGTAAACATCAAAACTAATTCAGAACGATGAATTTGCACTATTGCCAGTTTGTTCCAGTCTGATGACCACGTTCACTCAGCAGCTCTCAACCATGAGGCTGTAATTCTGACCTTATCAATCACCAAGATGCCCTTCTTAATATGATATTTTGTTAATTATTTTTTGAAAAACCAAATCCAGCGATTAGCAGCAACTTTTAGATTCGAAAACACATAACTTACGTGTTTGTGGATTAAGGATTTTAAGTGATGTCTGAAGACACAGCTGCCGTACATCATCCCAGTGTGGCATGCAGCACAAAATGCGTTAAGCTTTCAAAGGCCAGCAAAGATAGAGGAATATTTTCATATCTGAGCAAGACAGATAATACCTCCCAGTTTATACAGTGTCCACTTGTAACAAACATGAGTCATGTCAACTACCACTGATGTGGTCACTTCAGCAGTACAAGACGTTTAGCAATAGTACTTAGCAGGAGGAAAATAAACAAGAACAACCAAACTTAACTACCAGGGCAATTTAGAGGCAGCACATTAACAACTAGATTTGGAAAATGACCAATCGACAGGATAGGTTTTGCTACACAAGGACTATGGTATTTCTAAACAACAACAAATGGACAAGACCTTGGATTTTAGTTTCTTAAACAGTTCAGTGCCCCATCACAGTGCTGGAGCACTGGTTCTAGGGACAATGCCATCTCCTGAATTATCAATAGCCGTTCCTGCTGTTGCATAGAATTTTCTTGCAGAACTTCCATTTCAATTCTGACCACAGCTGATCGTATTTCAGATGGGAAGCCTGATAAGATCACAAATAGACAGTGTATGAGGGCAGGCTGGCTAAATAAACCTTATTAAAAAAAGTGTACTATTCTAAATACTTCAGACCAATCATTCAAACCAATCATTCAACAGAACTACAATATTCAAGTGTGAATGCCTTCTGCATTGTTCCAGAAAGCTGGAGGAGGTATCCCTCTCTGACCTATTTTGAAACAAGGAGCTGGATGAGGGTGGGGGAAAAAAACCACATCGCCACACATTTTAATGTATTGTGTTTTAAACACCACCTACATCTCGCTTCCAGCTACTATGTCACAAGACTAAGTCCATCTTTTTGAAGCAGCACCTCCTGCTGGATATTGACATTCTACAAGACTGAATAGCTTGTCAAGTTAAAATTTCATTAAAGAGGTGAGAAAATCTCGCACACACACACACCTTTTGCATTTCTCTTGCCTCCCACACAAGTATCTGAAAGCATTAAATCATTACACGTTAATTAATTTAGTTTCACATAGCACCCCTTTGGAGGAGCAGCTCACACTTCACTATTTTACACAGGGTAATACAAGTCCGTAAATCCCAATGTCCAACTTCCAGTCCTCTGCCTTCAGCACAAAGCCATCTCCACACCCATTCCATCTCCCACCACCCACGCAATCAATGTACCAAGCAAGGTTTAAACAAGCTTACTGCAGCTGATTTCCCATCAGCTACGATTTATCAAGTCACACACACAAGAATATTTTTCATTCAAATTATCTTGAAAGCTTCACACACACAAACATTAAGCACTTCCATTTCACTACTGAGGGCATGTGATGTCCTAACCCAAGCCTTATGCTCATTTGCACCAACATACACTCCTTCAGAATTATATATCAGCACCAATTACATTCAGAATAGTGGTCATATGCACAGCCAACCCAGGGTGTTGAAAATCACAGCTGTGTGAATAAACAGTGTCAACTTATTGAGTTTGAAGCTGAATATTATAGCTTTTTGGCACAGACAGCTATGAAGACTTGATGTGAACAAGGGTCCACAGTACTAGCAAGAGGTATACCTTCTTCTGCTTCTACAGAGGCTTTAAACGATTCCTTAGGGAGAGAAGAAATTGAAAAGCTATTCACTGCCAGGCACATTTCAAACCTAACCATATTTTAAAGCACCCAGAAAAAGAAGACTCTGAACTCAAGGGTTTTCATATACCGAAAAAGAAATTCCTCTCTGCATTAAGACAACACTGACCTACACAGGAATCCACCCTTATGAGAAAAAAAATCCCTTACAAGATTGCACTATTTCAGAAAACATTGCAAATTCATGGTGACTTGCAAATGCTTTTCTCAGTCCCCACCCAAATATCGAATGCAAATGCCTGCATTTGCAAGTCTAAACTGTAACAATATAGATGGATGTAAAATTATTCCTACCTTTGACCTGAGTGTCATATTCAGCTATGATCTCCTTATCCTTTTTGAATTTAGCTGGCGACGTCATGTTTTCCCTTTCCAGAAAGATTAACCTCAAAACAGATCCACCAGAATGCAACAAATAAATGCAATTTTGTTTCTTCCAAAGAAATGCCTTGGTTTTCTTATCCTTCCACCCTTCAAATAAAACAAATCAGTCCATGGGAAGAGGGCGTGAAACAGAGTGCGGCAGCAGAAACATGCAGATGTTAAGAAATCAGCGGGTGGAAAAGGCAGTTTTGTTTCCCTGCACCAAAACCCTTAGCAGCAACAGCAGCAAGCATCAGACTAGAGAGATCATGTAGTCTCCAAAGGCTTTTCCTGATTACTAACACTAATGGTACAGTCAAGGAGTGGAAGTCCTGCTGCACATGTTTTTTGAAGGTTTGCTTTGCCTTTTTTAAAACAGACTCAAAGATGATGCAAATAAAATCCCAAACGGGAAGAGAAATGAAGGATCAGAGGGCGTTCTCTTTGGTTTCGTTGCCTGTAAATAAAAAGATTTTTTTTAAGATATCAGGTACAAAATACAAGGCGAAAGTTTATAGTTTAAAGAAAAGCTTCATTAGTATTGCAAATGTCTCTTTAAACTGCAGCAAAATGCTACATATGTACATCAGCAAGGTAAAATGCCTGTGTAGTAGCAAGCACAGAAGGAAGAAAAAAAGAAAAAAAATCTCATTGGGAAAGCTCAGTCCCCAGGGGAAAAGGGGTGGTAGTGAAAGGTAACTAGCCCATGGGAAAAAAAAGAATCACTTTTCTAAATGAGCAATGCAGGAAGGGGGAAAAAGAGAGCAGTACTGAAGAAGCTACAACTCGATATCTTGAAAATTTAGACTCAAATCCCTGAATTACATGAACTGCAGGAGGTAAAAAATGAATCCACAAGCCATTTTGTAAACAAGATTAATCCCTTCGGTATAGCTAAATCAGCAGCCTTTGATTCTACAGACAGGTCAGCTGTGTATTACTGTTATTATTTGAATGTTTGGTCTCCCTCAGATCTTCCCTAGACATCAATGCTGATTTGGAACCAGGGGAAATGCAGCCCAGCATGTGGAAGGCAGATGCAAATCTCCCAACAGGGGGAAATCAGGGCACGTGGGAGGGGGTGTTACAAGTTATTCTCGGTAACAAACGTAAGAAATCAGGGAGCTGTGCATGATAAAAAACGTCAAACCAACAACTGAATCCACATCCAACATCAGGAGGAACAACGTGGCTAGCAGAGACAGGAAACGGGAAAGGGTTACAGAATAGCGTTAGAGCATTTAAATGGAAAACAAATAAACAGAAAGTGTGTGACTGGCTCCCCCCATAGTTACGGAGGGAGTGGAAGATATTCCAAGCTGCTCTATGCAATTACTATCCACCCAGCTGGAAAGAGACTGCGCAAATACACATATTTAAAGCTCTCCCAAAAATACATGCAGAAGCCACGGGCGCTCCCCAATGCTTACTGCAAAACCCTCTGGCACCTTGGGAACCTGGGTGCTGCCAACTCAGTCGTGTAAGGAGAAGACCACTCGCCCCCTCAGCCCTATTTGCTTTTCACTTCAGGAATGAAGGACCCAGCCCTGTATTCCCTTTCCTGCCGCTAATCCTAGCAGGGAGCAGCGACGGGGGGTGGTGGGAAGAGATATTCAAGCCTGCGGAAAAGGGGAGCGGAGTTCTGGGAATGGAGCGGATGGGGCAGAATGGGGGAATGGAAGGCGAGGCGGGGAGGAAGGTTTGGGGCTATACTGGGGATTGGGGTGGGGGAATAATTGCTCCTGGAGTATTATGGACGGGGAGAGGGATTTTGCAGGCTCGAGACTCTATCCTAGGAGGGAGCTATGCAAGGCGGAAAGTGTTGCGATTGGGGAGAACGGGGGCTATGCCACGGGGCGGTTACAACTGGGGGGCTGGGAGCGGGCTGTGCCGGGGGGGGCGGTTTTTGCAAATCGGGATGCGGGTTTT